ATTGCATAAAACATGGTGGTTCCACAACACATTGACACATCATTCCACTGTGTACCAAAATCACTATGAAATTTTGAACATCATTAACACTCATTCTCAATAAATGGGCGCATTTGACCATATAAAAAGCCGAAAAATACAGTTTATATATGTTCATTAAGTATATGATTATATCAGAGTAAGGTATTAGGTACATAAGAGTTGTCAAGTAATCTTTGTTTTAAACATACTACTTTGCGACTCAAAGTAATGCCTCGAGTTTAAAAAAATGTAGCTAAGTAAAGTATGTTACGGTAAAAGCGAAACTCAAATACGTTGATTAGTATTTAATAGAGATATTGAAGACATATTTTCTTCTTCCTTACCATAGTGGAGAATATTCTGGTGTTAAAAAACCCAAATAACTGTCAAGCATATCAAAGAAGAGTTCCAGTCGAGATCTTCATAGGTCATTTACGTTTTCGGCCCAAAACCATGCCTTTGTAATTTCAAACTACCTCATTTAGTTTATGTGATGCCCACAAAATACACATGTTTAGAGACAAGAACATTTCCAGAAGTCGACAATTAAGCGATAATCTACTCAATAATTTCAAAATGAAGTATTCGAATGTGTTCGTTTCTTAAAAGGATTCCATGAACATATATATACATGAAATGTAATGTACATTTCTGCCTATCGGACTATGGGTCTAAAGAATTGTAATACTCCATACACTCACTCACATTGCCTGAGAAACAAGCAAACCCACTTTCAATTAATTGATATCTAGTAACTGCAAATAAAATCCAACACTCTGTGCTTCTCAACGACATACAATTTCAGCATTCTTCGAGATTCACCTACAGGAACAGGTTCATCTGTCTTGCACAACACATTAGAATCTGGAAACCATATATGACATGACCATATTTAGGGCACTGAAAAAAACTGCTTTTTCTTCTCCAAAAATGGGCGGTGGGATAGCCTAGTGGTTAAAGCGTTCCCTCGTCATGCCGAAGGCCATGGTTTGATTCCCTACATGGGACAATGTGTGAAGACCATTTCTGGTGACCCCTGATGTGATAATGCTGGAATATTGAAAAAAAAAAAACGGCATAAAACCCGATTCACTCACTAACTCATTTCTCCAATAAGGATATTTCCTCTTCAACACGGTACGATTATGCAAGTATCAGTAGCTATATTAAGTGATTTCCAAAATTCAAAAGCCTAAAAATCAATAGCTTTCAGCAAAATTGTTTACATTTAAATTCAAGATGTAAAACAAAAATGCATGGATATATCTGCTCAATCCATTCTTTATACTAGTTCATATACGTCATAAGAATTTAATAATATTAAAGATTATGAAATTGATGTTTACTTTAAATGTCCATGAATAACTGGATACTGTGGTGAAATGTACGTTACCAAGTGTAACGTACATTTCACTATCTGTTTACATGCATAGTTTGTCAACCATAGTTCACAATCAGCCACAGCCAAGATACAGAAGTAAATTGACCCTAGGGGAATGGATTGTATGAACAAAACTATTTCTATGTTTCCCTTACATTCTATGAGAAAAATAAAACTGTTGCTACCAAAGTTTCAATCACCATTTAATCATATTTTGAGCGATACAAGAATGAACTGAAAGTAAGTGTGAATGGTTTCAATAAACGCATTGAGTGTTAAGCACTAAATGAGATTAATTCGTAGATCTGCCGCCTCAGGACTCCATAGTACGTGGTGGATGAAAATAGTGACATCTGCAAAAGACATATTGAACTTGACAACATCGGAATAAAAAAATGTACTGTCATCATACATTTCTTTCCATAAACAATTTCCCCATATCTGTTCAAACTTGATAAGGGTTAAACAAAAAATGTTGATATTGTGATAAGACCGTTAATGTTTATGATTTTCATGCAAGATGTATTTGGATATATTTTGTTTAGTTTGGTATTATAATAGTCACATGCATTACATCCTTAACCATACGCATTTGACAGGCCTAGTTTAGACAGGGACACAGTAGAAACATGCAAACTTTGGGATCCGTCAGACTATTTGCACATCTCTTTCTCATGACTATCTCAAAACAGGTGTATCTTACTCGCATATATCTTAAACAGTGTCCCAAATCCTTTAATAACATAAAGAAAGCTGACTAAAATTTTTGTAAATAACAAACTGGCAACAGACACTTTAGAATTGACAGTAAAGTTATTTTACTTGGTGTTTAGTTTCTTTGATAGGTAAATAAAACATCTATCATAGCAAAATACTACGGTCTGTTTACCGGGTTATCAGTAATGAAAATGACATACTGTTTGTCGTTTAACGTGTGTATACCACTTGCGGCGACAGTCATGTACGTTTCAAAATTAACAATCAATTGGATGTATTTCATTTATACCCAACATGTGGCAGACATGTGCTGTTTAAATCTTTAGTAGGGGTGGTGACATGCTGCAAAATGCAAAAGAATCAACTAAAAAGGAAAGCCAGGAAAACACCGAGTGCAGCAACACAAATCCCCACTTTTATTGAGAATGAGTGTTAAATGTTGACTACACATAGTGCCACGTTTATCAGCTGTTGAAAGAGAACGAGCTGTTTGGTTTCTTGAGACTGGCACAAACTGGCACAACACGAGACCAACCCTACCAAGGGCAAGCATGTGTCTTGCCCCTGGCCCATTACCGTCCCATTGTCCTCACTCATTGAAGGAACAGGAAGGGGTGTCATCAGTCCCAGAAGGTACGACGGTGATTTCATCAGCCAGGACTGCACATACGTATTCACTTTACTGACGAGTCTAGATATCATCTCAGTCATGCAGATGGAAGGATCAGAGTTTGGCTGATTGTTGAGTTGAGCAGCTGTACCACTGGGTTAGTGGGAAAATTATGATTTGGGGAGGGATTGGTGGTCATGGCTGGACCCAACTACACATTTGTTGTGGTCGAGTTACAGCTCAAACTTACACAGCAGAAGAACTGAGAACAACAGTCATTTCCTAGATGGCACCAGATCAATGTCTTCATATTTTGCAACTTTCTTCAGCAAAACAACATTCCTGTCCTGTCCTGTCGTGGCAGTGCTCAACTTAAATGACGGCGCATGTATTTCCATCTTGATTGACAATTTCAGAGTCAACAAGAACAAGTTCTTCTCTTCATGTAACACCAAGTTTAAATTTTATATCTCAGTGATGCGTTTCTAAAGTAGTTCATTATATTTCCAGTTACATGTGATTACAATAATGTGTTCATGTTGTGAAACAAAATCTCATTGAATTCTAGTACTATGCCCACACAGGAAGTCAAACTGCAGCCCAACAGCATTCCAGAGTACCCTGATTTCTATTATCTGTATATATTTCATGGGTATTAAAAACAACTGGTAAGTGAGCTGCCATCACAGGGCATAAAGAAGGTTAACTATTTAGTATACTAGCCACATAAACAAACTGTGCGTTGTCAAAATATGATCCCAGTTGATAAGTACGATAACAATGTCAAAGGTACATATAAACTTTAATGGAGGGATCATGAGACTATAACAAGTTGGGAGAATTTCAATTGAAAAGTCAATCACAATGACGTCACGAGTTCACAAGCGGGACAGGGGTCAAACGACCATGTCACAAGCTCAATAACGGGTATGTCCACCATCGGCATTGAGAACAGCAGTGCATCGACGACGCATAGAGCCTATCAAACGTGCAAGGAAGGCTTGTTGGATGTCATGCCAGATTCTCTCAAGTTTTGTTGCAAGGTCAAGGACGTTATCTGAGGAAGACGGCGTAGACGTCGATCCATCTCGTCCCAAACATGCTCCATCGGGGGGAGATCCGGTGAATTTGCAGGCCAAGGCAGTAAGTCAACGTTGTGGTGTTGCAAGAAATCCATAGCAACCCTTGCCGTATGAGGGCGGGCATTGTCCTGTTGGAATGTTAACCCAGGGCCATGACGTTGCAGAAGAGGAATTGCCACAGGCTGAAGAATCTGATCCCTGTAGCCCACACGAGTTAAGTTGCCCTGAACAATCACCAAAGGAGTTCTTTGGCGTGCTGTTATTCCACCCCAAATCATCATGGAACCACCACCAAAGCGATTCCTCTCCAAGACACAGGCCTGTGTATAACGTTCTCCCACGCGTCTATAGGCACGCTGACGTCCATCACTATGGGAAATGTTAAACCTGGACTCATCTGTAAAAACAAGGTTTCTCCACCAAAACAAGGGTCTGTGGGCATGATTTCGGCACCACATTAGGCGAGCTTGTCCATCTGTCCTGTCTTGACGTTGTTACACGTGGACGTCCAGAACGTGGCCGATCGATGACGTCATTTGTGTTCTGGTAGTGTCTCACCAGTGCAGAAATGGTGTTCCAGTGGCAGTGGAAATGTGCAGCCACTTGTCGTTGAGACATTCCCCCACGGACCCACGGACACATTGTGCAGACGTGAGCCTTGCCATGCTATGCGTTTCAATAGCCGTTCAATTTTTTGAACGATGGCAAGGGCAGGGGTTGAGCTTTCCAAAGTGACAGTATTGTGTGGCATTCATTTGCTCTGTTTCTCTTTCCCGGAATGCACGTGCAACAACGTATTGCACGTCTCAAGGACGAACCCACTGACGTCACGGAACATGGCACATGCATGCATGTTGGATACATGTCACTAATCTCTGAGTTTAAATCCTTATGTGTCTACACAGGTTTGATAAATTTAGATTTTAAATTTTTGTATGCACAGTTTCTTTATGTGCCTAGTATATTTATCAAGGTTATAAGAGGAATAATTCATGAGTACAAGGTGACCTTCTGAAGAAGAAAAAAAGAAGAAGAAAAGGCTGCCCATCCAAAATATTTTTCTATTGTCATTGCCTGAGAAACAATTTTTATCTTTTGTAAGCCAAAGACAACAATTTCAAAGCTAGAAATAATGCAAACTGAGTGAAGAAGTTGTATTTATGTAATAGTTATATATTTTCCAACCCACCTGCATCAACAAGATAAGATGCACACTCAAGAAGCCCATGTTTAGCAGAATAGATGATGCTTCGATTAAGGTCTGTCTGTTTCAGAGCCTGTGGAGTCTGCAGCATCACACGTAAAATGCTCAAGTTACCATCCATCACAGTGGCCAGCACACTGAAACATGAAATCTTATGTTAGAAATAGATTTAATTGGGAAAACACAAAACACATGGCCATGATTTATCCAATGTAGTAAGGGACTTATTGCTCATTCTCTATATATATGGGGGGGGGGGAAGAAAGAGGACAGAAAGAATATTTGTGTCACCTCGGTTTTGTGTCGTCCTCTGTTTTGTTTCAGGTGGTTCTTTTGCAATTTGCAATATGTCACTACCCCTGCTAGAGGTAAAAACAACACGTCAGAAACATATGAAATATACACTATTGTGTGTTAACTTGGCATTGTATGTGACTGTTAGAGCAAATTGTATACACACAATAAACGACAATCAATTTGTAATTTTCATTATCTATAACCCAGAAAACCAGACATAGTACATTCTTATGCTAGACATTTCAAATGCCTTCCAAAGAAACTTAACAGGGGGTTACTCCTGGATACTGTGATGAAAATTACGAACCATAGCTACAAACACTTGCACCACTGTACCATGTTATTGGCATAATATTTTATATGCAGCATATAAATGATGATATGGGGCATGATGGGCGAGTTGTCTTAAGGCGCCAGGCTAGTGATCCAGCGAGCTTGAGCTATCGGGATCGAGCCCACCTGTGACCGGGTGTAAAAACCTTGGTATCAACTTTGTGTGCACTCTTTCAGTGTTGTCACAACCCTTAGTGTACAGTACACAACCCTGTGCACTTAAAAGAACCCACGAATCCATTGGAATATGACCAGATGGTGGCCACATGAATACGTGCAAACACCTACTGGCAAATAAGGATAAGTTGGACCTGCACAGAGAACACGTTTTCGAGAAGTAGGCGATGCACGGCAATGAGCAAACCCATTTGGTTTGAGAAAGGTAGAGGAGATGTAGGCTAGTGCACGTGTAGTGCATGATGACGAAGTTGATGCCGCGCATTGCTGCACGCGCCTTGCTCATTAAACTCTCACGTGGTCGCACTACACTTGATCACGGACAACCTGGGGCCCCTTCGCTCACAATGGCAAGCGCCAGTGGACATACACTCGTACATGGTAATACGGGTAAATTGTCAGGTCGGTGCTCAACTTATTCTTGTTTGCCAGTAGTTGCGGGAACAGCAATATGTACACCAAACTTGGACAAAGTACTGTAACTATGTGTCCCAGTCCACTAGCTGTGAATGGGTACCTCATAAGGATGGGAAAGCTGCAATAACTCGCCTTGTGGCGCCTTGTGGCTGCAAGAGTTGTATGCCCCCCCAGAAAGTTGAGATTGATAACATGATGTGCCATTGAGACTAACATCTAATGATCGAGAGAAAACAATATCAGCGCCTTGAGCATGTACTAGTTGCTTGGATATGTGTGCCATATAAATATGATGATGATGATGATGATACATAGTTATCTTCAAAAAGAACAAAACAGAGAATAGCTTAACATGTCCCCAGTCACACTTTGAGCAATGCTGACAGAAAGAAACAAAACCAGAAGAACAGAAAAAGGTGACAAAAGCCATGAGAGAAATCATGACACTAAGAGATGGAAGTCTAGTCTCTCCTTGTAAACTCATTGTTATGAAAGATCAGCAGCAGCTGTTGCGGGACAACAGAAGGGCTGGTTAAAGATGAAAACAGAACAGAACACTATACAAATCAAGGATAAAGCAAAGGAAAAGTGGAGTTTTTGGAAAGGCATAGTGTCTACCACTTTTGATTTGAGAAAAAATACATCCAAAACTTGTTTAATACAGTATGACTTTAAAACAGAAGAAGAAAGAAAGTTAAAGGCACTATATCACAACACACTTCTCTAAAGATAAATAATGCATTTCTCTCAATAATACTATCAGCCTTAAGGGAAGCTACCATATAAATTATTCACAAAAACATTACGTATTTAGATTACAATATTGAATTCAAAGGTTCAAATAAATCATTGCAATGTTGCATTAAATCGAATCTCGTGCCCTTTACCCGGCCGAACATTATTTCAAGCGAACCAGATAGAGTTATGACATTGGAGCGCTCTTTACGAATACCCCACCAACAACTTGTGACTGAAACCAGTTCGGTAAACACCAACAACACCGCCTGCGACAGTTTTCGATGTACGAAGCAATTGTTTACATTCCATATATGGCAAGTGTTCTCTGTTTTCGCTTCAAAGTTTCAATTATCGATTTCACCAAGGTATAATAAGTCTTTTATTACATCAATAGGAAGCTAAATTGAGTGCATATACCCCAATATATATAGTGAGTGAGTGAGTATGGTTTTATGCCGTTTTTAGCAATATTCCAGCAATTCCGGCGGGGACACCAGAAATGGGCTTCACACAATGTACGCATGAGGGGAATCGAACCTGGGTCTTATGCATGACGAGCGAACGCTTGAAAATTCAAAAGAGTGCCAAGAGAGGGTACAGAAGTAATTTGTTTAAGTCACATCAAAAGTCTACATTTGTAATGGACAATGTACAATACTATAATGTGCAACATCAAGGACATAACATTTCAACCACAAACACCTGAAAATGTGATACATTGTCATGGCGGCAATAGTGTAGCATTAACATTACCACAAAATGACTGTTGTAACCAGTGTTTGAAATAACCGCCGGCCCAGAGACCCAGCGCTGGTTGTTATTGTACTGGGCCGTCAGTTTCAAATATAATTGCAGGCACTCGTGGCTTTCGGCACATTATCTGTCAAGGTTTTTAGACGACTGGAATCTTTCCCATACTTTTTTCTTTATTAACGTTTGTGAATCCATGATCCATCATGTTACGATAACTTACAGTTTCACTTCCTGGTATTTCAGCGCTTTGGGCATAGGAATGTCAACACCAGCCTTAACATATAAAAACTTCATAGTGCCATAGCCTCGCTAATTGTTTTTGTCGAAACAGTGTGAAACTGTGTACATTAGTCTGTGTAGTCTGTAGTCTCTTTTGTTTGTACTGGTATGACTTTAACAAAATGGGCCTGCAGATTTCATTCAGGGCCTGCAGATTTTAAAGCCTGCAGGAGGCAGCAGGCCCTGATGGCCAACTGGCAAATTAAAGTATTGCAAACACTGGTTGAAACCATATAAAATTGTCTGAGGTATTGTCAAAATCAGAAAATATTATCCAGTCAAATAAAGAAGGTTTTGTATTACCATAAGTAATTTGTTAGTTGATACGAAGGAATGAGGTGGTTCTCGTCACTGTCAACTAAGTTCTAATCTCTTAAATCTTCCAATTGTATTTCTCAGCAAACAGACAGTCACAAGAGTACTGAATTTATGACTAAACTCTTCAAAGAAAGAAATGTTACATCAAATTTCAGGGAGATATATTTTACTATAAAGACAAATATTACAAAAAACAATGAATACATGTTCTTAGGTTATCAACTGATCGTGCCTCCAATATGAGTGATGCCTTGTTCACAAAATGAAACATCAATGACAATGAACAACACTTGGGAGTGTCAGATATTTAATACCGGGTATGTCCATCATTAGCATTTATCACTGCCTGGCATCACATCCCCATGGAAGCAATGAGATGTTGTACTGTGAGTTGTTGGGTATTCTGCCACTGCTGCAGTCTAAGTAAACTTTAGGCTCAGTGTTATTCGTTACACTGCTATACTGAGTATAACAAAACCTTGTGGAAGGTCGCGTCAGGTAACCTTTGAGCGACCTATGACCATCCAATCAAATGCAAGACGGCCGAACGGATTTAACCAATCAGACAACGGCTACTATTTAGGGTTTGGCGGGACTTACAAAATGGATTTTTTCTTCCCCTGTCGTAAACACTGATCTCATAACAAATGAAAACCTGCATAAAACACAGATATATGAATCGTTCGGGTACAAACAAATTTCGAGGTAAAAGTTCAAAAGGTATGTGCGAATGTCAACTTTCACGATTTGGTAAGCTTTGTTCTGATCAGTCCATTGAAAAGGTCAGCTGATGCGACCTTCCACAAGGTTTTGTTAGATTCAGCATAGCAGTGTAACAAAAAAGACTGAGCCTAAGCTTACTTAGACTGGCCACTGCTGTTGGGAGAGCCTGTAACAGTTCTTGGAATGTTCCTGGAGGAGGAAGATGATGTTGTTGAACTCGTCTATAGCTATGAAGTCACTGGAACGCATCTTGCTGGGACATCTCTGACAGGAAGTTGCTGAAATACTGGACCCACTTCGGTTCACCTACAGGTCAAGGAGACCACCAGAAAGAAAAAATTGACGAAAGTGTAACCTGTAGATAAGCCTACCTTCTACAGACCGCTTTTTTTCCCCTCCAAATTCAGCTTATCTATGGTAATATATGGTAAATGAAAGCAGTCACAATTGAAGACATTGACAAACATTCCAGGTGAATGGATAGACACTATGAAGTGATATGAATCAGGTGACTTTTTGAGGAAGCACATAACTTGGCACCAACAAATTCAGGAAATTCACAAATTAGCCAATCAATGGACAGTAGCTTCAAAACGAAGTTCATAAGTTGTGTTAATAAAGCATGAGATGAGAAAAACCAAAAACCTTTAGTATGTAATGAACCAGAACAAATGTCAGAAGGCAGCTGCTAAAAACGACATGGACATATCAAGGATGCCTCCATCCTCGAAGGGTGGATTGGACAATCCGGAATATACATGACTGTTGCCAAAAGTCCTGCTTGTGATACAGGTAAGCAGACTATGATTGTGATATATATAAAACAAAGAACCAAAAACTATCCTCTGAATGACTGTTTACATAGTAATGTGTCTTTTTTGGCGAATGAGGTTTTTCTTATGTGACATGTGACAGGTGAAGAATGAAGTTTACTAATATCTATAAATTTTGCTTCTGATATTTTTATGCCAAGCAATTAGTCTAGAACTAAGGCTAAATTTGTTTAGTATACAAATGAATGATATGTATTGATTGTATTTATTCTAGTGTGTCCATAGATGGTCCATTTAGTTATTACTGCCATCTAAACAGTTGTTTCAGTATAGAAGGATATTTAACTTTCTGCTATTTAACTTTCCATAAGCACTCTACTAGTCTTTGTTAAAAACATCCATCACTGTATCATGGACCACAACATTTTAGACAAAAAGACAAACATAAATGGGAAATGAAATAACCAATTTTTCAACTAGCAAGTGAAATAAAACTGACAATTTCACACACATATACCTCTAACATCATGATTCATTGACAAATGTGGCCTCATTCCTACTGTCTGTGCCCTGTGCTAATAATGGAAAATATGGTGTTCAGCTCTTCCCTCATATGATCGAGATATTGTTATTATTATTTGCGGATGATGTGATTTTAGTCTCCGATGTAATATCTGGTCTTCAAAGACAGCTTAACATTTCAGAACAATATGCAGATACGTGGGGTCCAACAGTAAATTTGGAGAAAACAAATATTGTAGCTTTTAGAAGAGGTGGGTGCCTGTCGAAGCACAAAAGATGGTTTTATCAGGGAAATAATGTTATAACAGTAGATTCGTATAGATAGCTAGGTATTCTCTTTGCGTCCTCGTGTATATAGATATCTAGGTATTCTCTTTGCGGCCACATGTAAATTTAATAAATGTATAGAAGATTTGTCATCTAGGGGTAAAAGGTCCTTATTGGAAGTTATTCATCACCTGTATAAACTAGATATTGTCGATTATTCTGTTTTCTTAAAGATATTGGATACCCAAATCCAAACAATTCTTTATATGGTGCTGAAGTCTGGGGTAATAATAATTTCTATAAAATTGAAAATGTCCATCTCACTGCATGTAAGAAGTAAGAAGTCCACAGACACCAAATGCCATTGTATACGGTGAATGTGGCCGATATCCACTGTACATAAATGCACAATGTTGATTTGTAGAATACTGGTTAAAACTTGTGTCTATGTGTCACTATAGAATACCAAAGAAAGCCTATAACATGTTACTATTTTATGATAACTATGGTTTGGGGTATGTATGGTTGTCTCAAGGTGTTGCTGATATTTCAGTTTTTTCTTCAAATCTTTAAGAATGTTGCAGTTGATATGTATTTATAGTCATGGAATGGTATTTTACAAGAAAGTTCTCAATATAATGTATATAGGAAATATAAAAGCCTGTTGGAACCAGAAAAGTATCTCACTCTATTAACAAATAAAAAACAACGAAATATAATGATAAGACTTAGGTGTGGAATATTAAAATTAAAAGTTAACGAGGGAAGGTGGTTGGGAATTGAATTAAGTCAGCGATTATGCCAATTTTGCAAACAATGGAATTGAAAACGAGTATCATTTTATCCTTGTATGTAAATACTATAGGAATTTAAGACAGCGTTATCTACCATGTATGTATCACCACAATGTTAATATTCACACATTTAGACAGCTAATGAATTCAAAGTGTAGTGATGTATTAAATAAATTATGTAGATATGTTTGTCAAAGTTTGATCTTAAGAGAACAATATGTTTGAAATCTGTAGCATATATAAAACATCCATGTACATTCCATGTAATTCATGTTCGATGTAAACATATAATTCTGTATGTGTATATGGGCCAATGGCCTTCATACAAATAAACAACTTGACTTAAACCAGCAAGTGAAATAAAACTGACAATTTCACACACATATACCTCTCACATCTTGATTCATTGACAAATGTGGCCTCATTCCTACTGTCTGTGCCCAAAAGATTTTCATAACCAAGTTTCTTTAGTTTGTCTGGATCCCACTAAATGCAAAGAACAGAACATGGCATTCCATTTCTTTCCTCCATGCTGACATCACTGTATTCAAACTTTCCTCCTCACTTAATCAGGCTTTACACATGGAAGTCTGAAATATGACACTTGGTACCTTTTTTGATGAAATGGAACACCCCCATGAAACATAATTTCCTTTTAATGCCTACTGTACACTAAGATTCACAGAAAATCAGTTCAGTATAATGTAGATGAATGTACTGTAAACAAAGGAAGATAGTGTTTGTCTCTACACTATGATGCCACAGCTAACAGTGAGTGAGTCTAGTTTTACACCACTTTTAGCAATATTCCAGCAATATCACCAGTAATGGGCTTCACACATTGTACCCAGGTGGGGAATCGAACCCAGGCCTTCGGCGTGACAAGAAGACGCTTTAACCACAAGGCTACTCCATCGCCCCTCACAGTTGACATGGGCACAATGTGTTAAGCCCATTTCCGGTGTCCCCCGCCGTGATATTGCTGGAATATTGCTTAAAGCGGCGTAAAACTAAACTCAGTCAGTCACAGTTGACAACTCAGCTGAAGCTGGGATTTAGATATGCATACGGTTGTTGTAGGATTAGGTTTTTTATAGCAAATTCATAAAGGACTTTTTTGTCTAAAGGTATATTTTGTTTGATTATTTAACACATATGAAGAAGCTCAATAGATCTCCTTCAAGTAACTCGAGCTCCATACTTGAGGACTATGTCCCTTGAACCATTCAAGGCAGTTCAAAACTCATCTTCCAATGATCTGTAGTTGACTGAAGTCCTTGGTCCTTACTTGTGTTGTGGCAGTGACAACTGACCCATACACCCAGTAGTTCTGTCACACACAAGCAATCAATCACATGATGTATTTGTCAATCAAGTCACCAGAACACTAGAGTTTGAAGCTGCAGTAAAATAATGCTTTGGCCACCACTCACAGAGGTCAAAAGCAACAGAGTCTGATAAAACATAAAACTGTCCTTTGAGAATTGGTGTTAGAACCTGTTACACATTTCCCCCTTGATTTTTGCTTAATTGTTGATAGATTGTAATGCATAAGGAAAGAGAAACAATGCATCTCCACTGATGTATTTTTCCAAATGATAATGAGACTGTTGCTAATCATTTATCTCCACTCCAGCCCCACCTTTAACAAAGCAAACTATTCTTCCATGATTATTCACCTTTTGAACTTTGCATATTATTTTTGCCTCTAGGTATACATGTAATAGAGCATAGGCCTGGAAATGAGCTTAATTACAATCTACATACCATACAACATAGTCCTTTTCTACAGTATACTCCACACAAGTAGTGTTCTACTATTGTGGGGCAAATGGGCCCATTACAGAAGTGTTGACAGGTTTGACAAGTCAATGGAATTCCGCCATAATATTTTGGCAACATTTAGGAGATAAACCTATGGTGGTTTGAATTTGATGCTGTCAGACAGTAGATTATAGATACTCCATTTTTTTAAATTTGAAACAGAGTGTTTTGAAAATTGGAGATCTTTCTGAACAAAAACTGACACCTGGATACAAAGGTATCAACCTTTGAACATTTGACAAAGGTGTCACCAGTGAATAAAAAATACTAGGAAACAAGTTCAAAATACTCATATGCTCGAATGGTTCTAGTTTTCTAGGAACAAATAAATTAAATCTCCAAAGAGATATGTTTTAATGCACTTCATTACAACCTGCTTTAAATTAGCAGTCAATATTAGACCAAGTCAATTCTTGCAAATTGACATGCTCTTTTTTCAGCTTGATAAGTCTTTTCTTGGTAAAGACAACCTGTATCAAATAACTTTCTTGGCTACTAGTCTATGCAAGAATACAATCTAAAGTGTTATGGCTTGTCTACCAATCAGTCCACATCTTCGCCCGTCCATATCCACAAACTCTTCCAGAAACCTTTGTTCAGCTGACAAATTCCTCTTTTCTGCATCTCCCTACAAGTTGAAAAGATTTGGTTCCCGATCCTTCAAACACTCTGCTGCTGTACTATGGATGCACGCCTTCCTTGACTGCCTTTAAATCTGGCCTAAAGTTCAATCAGTTCCTCAATTACTGTCACTTGTTAATCATTTTTAGTTTTCTGCGCTTAGAGCATGCCCATGCAGCATGGATTTCAGCACAATATAGGTGACATTATTATTGTGTTCTGTGTCATTTTACATGTAAAATGTGTTTTAACAGAAGGTAATTTATGTGCTCTTCTTCCAGCAAGAGTTAACTCCCTTAGTTTCCCTGTTGGTCAGTTTCAAAACTTCCGCTTCAAAGAACCCAACATCATCAGTAATTTAGGAATGGCTCAAGGCTACCCTTAATATATACAGGACAGCAACCAACTTTCATCAAAGTATATTTGAGGGAGTGTGTTTTGTATGACCAGGAGTATAGGCTGAAACAGACAGCAGAAGATTTCAGATGGAGTACCGGTACGACTC